CCAGATACCCCTACTCAAAGGCTGTAAGGGACAGCAAATGGCTATCAAAAAACCACTAGGAGACAGAGGAGACAAGCTCATCTGAAAAGCTTGGTAGCTTTTTATAGGATATCTTTCATTGTTTGTCCTCCAAGACCTTCAGTTTTGAAATAGTTGTTTAGATGCCTCGTACAAAATCTGTGCGCAATATCTGTCATTATTTCATCAAATGCAGATATTAAACCCTTTTACTTGTCAGAAATGAAAGCCCATGCAACATGGTTTTGTGAGATTCACAAGTCCTCATCAAGAAGTGTAAGAAATCATCTCCATGTTTCCTTCAATTCACCTTCCACTATTGCGAATGCAATAAGATACATGTTGTTTGCATCAACGCCTACTGTTGTTAATAACTAACTCCCTTTTTGGTGCCCTTTCAAATGACATCCACCAAATTTCAGTCACAATTAGCTACGGAGCCTAATTAAATTTATTCTTGTGGGTATATGTGAAATTTCCCCTTCTTTTAATTGAATTGGACCTCTAACTTAGTAAAAGGATTAATTACTTGAGTGAATCTCTTTTAAAAACTAATTACTTATTTTAAATATACTCTTTAATTATTACCATTTATAGCAATATATAACAATATTATATATTTTATTAGAGTTTTCTCTCTCGCCTCTTTCTCTTTTTTTTCTCTCAGCTTTTTAATTTTTATTTCTCATTCTCGCTATTTCTCTCTTTTTTCTTTATGTCGTTCTTTCTCCTTTATTTTCTTTTTGTTACTGTTTCTTTCTTGCTTTCTTTTTCTCTCTCTCTTTTTGTTGCTTTTTCCCCTTTCTTTTTTTCTCTCTACTTTCTTTCATAGGGTAGTCAATGATTTGTAGAATTATTTAAATTTGTATCATAATTAATTAAATAAATAAATAATCTAATCGTAACAAATGAAGAGACATAATAAATTGCAAAATGAATTAAACTTGAATTAAAAATGTATTACATACATATTAAAGTTGAATTAGAAGAGAATTAAACATGAATGCAAAATGTAGCAAACGAAAGAGCATTCTATAATCGAATGAATTTGTATCAATAATGAATTTAACAAATAATTCAATAGTAACAAATCAACCAATAAATTGCAAAATGAATTAAAATTGTATTTAAAAGTGTATTGCACAAATATTAAAGTTGTATTGGAAGAGAGAATTAATCATGAATTCAAAAAATAAAAAACGTAACTAATGAAAGACTAGACAATGATCTATAGAATAAAACTTGTATCAATAATGAATTAAACAAGTAATCCAATAGTAACAAATAAATCAAAAAATTGCAAAATAAATTAAATTGGTTTAAAATTGTATTACACAATATTAAAGTTGAATTAGAAGAGAGAATTAAGAATGAATGAAAAACGTAACTAACGAAAGACAAGACAACTATCTATAAACTGAATTAAACTCGTATTATTCATGAATAAAACTTATATTATATGTATCTTATAAATTATTTTTGCTTTTATCACTAAGAAAATTAGCGATGGTTGCAATATGTATTAAAAATGTATTGTGCATGTCTTATAAATGTATTACTCCACTAGTGTGTTACCTAAATTATTCTTGTTGGTATCCGTAAGAAAGAAGTGAAGTGTGCAATACGTATTATAAATGTATTATTCATGAATAAAACATGTATTATATGTGTCTTATAAATTACTTTTGGTTGGTATCACTAAGAACGTGAGTAATGTTTGCAATATGTATTAAAAATGTATTGTGCATTTATTATAAATGTATTATAACTGTGTTACCTAAATTATTTTAGCTGATATCATTAAAAAGGGAGTGAAGTTTGCAATATGTATTATAAATGTAGGATGTATTGTTCATGATTTTAATACAATTATGAAACATATCTAATAATACAACTTTAATACAAACGCGATATAGTTCTGTAAACTTCATCCTTTTCGAACTTCAATCTAATAATTTTCCTAAAATCAATCCTAAACTTAACCAAACCCTCTTAAAATTGAGATATAAACTCCAAACGATATTTTTAATTATTTGTAGGAACAACCTATCCAAACTAATCGCAAACGAAAGAGCAACCAATGATTCGTAGACTGCATAAAACTTGTATCAATAATTAATTAGACAAGTAATCTAATCGTAACAAATGAAGAGACATAATAAACTGCCAAATGAATTAAACTTGAATTAAAAATGTATTACACACATATTAAAGTTGAATTAGAAGCGAATTAAACATGAATGCAAAATGTAGCAAACGAAAGAGCATTATGTGATTTGTAAACTAAATAAAACTTGGATCAATAATGAATTAAACAAGTAATTCAATCATAACAAATCAACCAATAAACTGCAAAAGGAATTAACTTGTATTAAAAGTGCATTATACAAATATTAAAGTTGAATTAGAAGAGAGAATTATGCATGGATAAAAACTGTAACTAATGAAACACCTGACAATGATCTATAGAGTGAATTAAACTTATATCAATAATGAATTAAACAAGTAATCTAATAGTAACAAATAATAAACTACAAAATGAATTAAATTTGCGTTAAAAGTGTATTACACAATATTAAAGTTGAATTAGAAGAGAAATTTAACAATGAAAAACGTACTAACGAAAGACAAGACTATTCTATAGACTGAATTAAACTTGTATTATTCATGAATAAAATATGTATTATATGTGTCTTATAAATTATTTTGGTTTGTATCTCTAAGAACATGAGTGATGTTGCAAGATATATTGTGTCTATGTTATAAATGTATTACAAGTTTGTTACTTAAATTATTTTGGTTGATATCACTAAAAAAGAAGTGAAGTTTGTAATATGTATTATGAATGTATTGTTCATGATTTTAATACAATTATGAAACATATCTAATACAACTTTAATACAATTGCGATTCAGTTTCATAAATTTCACCTTTTTCGAGTTTCAATCTAGTATTCTCCTAAAATCAATTATAAACTTAACCAAACCCTCTTAAAATTGAGATATAAACTCCAAACGACATTTTCAATTATTTGGTAGGAACTACCTATCCAAATTAATCACAAATTCGTAAAATTCAAATAATGAATTCAAAATTTGAAGCTTTATAATGACCATCAATGGTGAACTCTTGCTTCTGTAATTGTAGAGATTTGAAATTTCTGCTTAAAAACGTGATTTTGTACAAATTTTCGGTCTCTCTGTTCCTCTTTTCATCTTGTTTTTGGGTAAAAATAGTGAAAAATATGGGCAAAAACTGATTTGAGGATAGTTATTTATATGAAAAGTTTAAAGAAGAAAAAAAAAAGAGGAGGAAGAAAAAAAAGAAGAGGAGGAAGATAAATAATGTCAGAGAAAGAGACGAAGAAGAGGAAAAAGGGCTGAGATGAAGAAGCTGAAGAATAAAAAGAAGAGGAAAAAGGGCTGAAAAGAGGCGAAGACCGTACAATTTTCTTAATTCCAAAAAAATGTTATATTTAGTTAGAAAAATTATGTTGCCATATATGGTAAATATTTTTATAATATAGCATATTTATGTGATTAACCCATAGTAAAATCAGCTAATATTTGGCCCATTTTCAATGACCAGCCCACTCTTCTTCTAAAAGAGAGGCCCAGACCCATTTTGTTATTCTTCAGTCCAACAAAACAAGATGCGCTCAACATCGCGAACCCAACGAACAGTCTAATTCCCAATTTTATCTGTCATTTTCCACTTTTCTCTTTCAATTCATACTCTCCGCCTGCACAACACGAGCTCGAAGACGCCTCAAGCTTCTCTACGGTAATATCCTTCTGATTTTCGATTTTCCTTTTCCAATTTCATTCAAAATAGTACGAATTCGTTTATCCTCCAAGATTTTTGAATTTGGGATTCTCCCACATCGGTTCTATCCTAGAAATTCCCCTCAAATCTCTCCTATAAAAATCCCCTCTCTTCACGGAGACTGTTTGGATACCTAAGAGTACCCCTTTAAGGTTTGGGAATTCGGAGTGTCTTCTCAACTCGCTGCTTGGAAAGAAAGAGGTAAATTCTTTCTTGTGTCTTGCAGTAATTCACATCTTATGATTAAAATCGCAAAATGTTATTTTCATTAGATTTGAACCTACCTTGGTTACTTCTTCTTATTCTTTCTTTCTTTGTATGTTAAATCGAAGAGATTCAATGGCCAAGACTGTCTTATTTTGATTCTGTTATCACTTCTAAGATGATCTCAGGCCTTGTAGTAAAAATTCCAGAAAAAAGAAAAGGGTTTCTGTTCGCATTTTGAGAACTAAAGTAGTCTATATTGACTTATAGCTATGCTCCCTGTTGTGATGGCTAAACAGCCCGAATAGGAATTTGTTTGTTTATTTTCTCTCTTCCTCGTGTATTAGTTTACACCTACCAATGTGTTTCCAAACCATGATTAAGAGAATGATTTGCTTTCTATGTGTTCACATCCATGTGTCACTGTTTTATTTTGTTAAGTCAGTGACCAAAATGTTGAAGCACATACACATTTTAGTCAGGTCAGGTTACCGGCTTAGAGGCAAACATGGAGAAGTCCCACATTTTTATAATAAAGGTAATTGGGGAGACTAAAGAAGGAATACTCAATAGAATTGAATTTACACTTAGCTCATTTCAATAAGATACTTGGGATTACCTCTGTACTCCAAGAAGTGGTCGAAGATGAAATGTCATCAATTGATTGCCAAAATAACCCTGCGGATAACTGTCACTTATTCGAAGAAGTTATCATACACCCGAAGATTACAAGTGATAACATCAGTGCTATATTCGTTACATAGCGCTTTTGGGGATTTGTCTTTGTACTACCCCAAAATGTTGTTTAAGAGGTGAATAAAATTTGTAAACACCTATATTTGTAAGTCACACTGAAGTTTGTTACTTTTTATAAATTAATAAAAATAATATATATTTTTTATCAACACCCTAATTAGGATAGTGCAACTTATATTGGACCCTTTTCCGATTAGAGAAATTTCAATAAATAATAGTGGTGGTTCCATATCAGAGTTCAAAGCTCAAAGTGCAAAGAAAAGAAAGAGATGGTGAAAGTAGTAGTGGGAGAAGAAAGTCAGGTCAAATTAGCTGAAAATCGGCTTAGCAAATCTGGAGTCCCTTGTCAGGTATATTAGAAAAATAATAAATTCATGTATGAATGACCAAAGCTGTATATATATATATATATAAGGATAATTTGTTTTGACAGGTAGGGCTTGTAATTGGGAATTTAAGTGGGAAATTAGATCGAGGATTCATATTCGATTTAATCCCAACACCGCTGAATGACAATGGTGAGCCGGCATGTTCCATAATTGGTGGGGCTAAAGATGATCAGAAAAAGGCATCCAAAGGGAAGTCGCTCCCTCAATCTTCTGCATTATTTATTGACAAAGATTGGCTTGCTGAACACGCTCGTCAGGTTCACTTTTTACCCTTCTCTATTTTATAATTACAAATTCACATTCTACAACACTAGAATTATATTAGGTTACTACTTCTCCTATCTTACTTACTTCCACCCACTGCCAAATTGTGTGGAAGAATTTGTATGAACTACTATGGAAATCCATGTATTTTGTTTTTTTGATAACCATTATGTCTGGTCAAGCTTGCACACATCTTGACTAATTCCATAATTTTTTTGCCTCCTCTCACTAATATGTATTAGGTAATTTTGTCTACCAAGGCTAGGCCAGATGAGAAGAAATCACCTAGTGTATTGTATCTACTGAGATTTGAACTTGAGACTTCATGGTTCTGAACTCACTTCATTGACCACTAGGCCACACCCTTGGTTGCAGGAGATCCATGTATTTTCCTCAAATGAATCTATGTGAGCCTATACTACTAGCCTGTTATTTGCATATTTCTATGTATTACATAAGGCAAAAAGTATATGAAAGAACCTAGTGTTCGCTAGGGACTTTGCTGCGAAGTGCAATTTAGGTGTGGGATTGGTTTAAAATAGGTGCATATGAAGAGAGAAAAAATGTGATACAACAACTATGACTCAGATCCAAACAAGTTGGGTAGGCTATATGAATCCTTGCAAACCATGTTTCCAAACGTACCTTCGTTTAAGAGAATATTTTTTGTGTAGAAAGTCTCAAATTTGGGATCTTCTTCTATGCGAATTTCTTGAGAAATGAAGTCGAATGGTCCTTTGACCTTCGTTTGATTCCGCGAAAGCCGTAGCCCTTTAATTGCTTAGGGGAATCGGCCAAAGGCTCCGCAACATGTTGGTGAGCTTTTAGATCCCGCCAATAAAAAGTATATTCTAATCCTAACTGACATGTATGTTGTAAAGTCCATATTCATTTAGTTCAGAACCATTTTAAAATCTTTGATTCAGATGCTAAAATGTAGTCGCAAGTTTCCGGTATAGATTAGTGATTAGTTCTCGAATCCTAGATTTCTAATATATATTCCTCTTCACAAACACATCATATATGATATCTTTTTTTTGGTGGTATCTAGTCATCTCTTGGGTTGTGTAAAAGAAAGAAACCATAGGGGTTCTGATGGGGCATCAACTCCAACTCAATCCCAGGAAGCTAGATGCTTAGTTGTTTTGTTTAGCTGAAATTTCCTACTCCTGATAGCATTGACAGTTTTTTGGGGCTCTGTTAGCTCCATGGTAGTTGAGTTTTTTTGTAATAGAAGCTAACATGTTTTTTTTTTGCTTCAAAACCCTATTGGCTTTTGCATTTGTAATTTGATACCTTCCAGTTGTAATATATCAATGGCAATATCTTTACTTCATCTAAAAAAAAATGATATCTTTATTTGGTAAAAATCACCTATGATATCTTCTAACAGTCAAAATATCATGTTACTGGCTGTATATAATGTTAGTGCTGCCCTTTTCTTGACAGAGCTTGTGGGTGTTGAGGCGCATGTAGTAGCACCTTGATGCCTGCACCAACGTGCCTTTCATTTTCTGTGATGTCCGCAAACTATGCAACAGACATGCTTCAACTGCTGCTACACTGTGTGATGCAAATACCTCCTCTATTTGACAAACTACCATATGTTTTCTCAACTCTGTAGCCTTGTATATGAACTTTGTTTGGAAGAATATTCAAATGGGTATAGTGGATTTAAGAAATATCTCTCGTCCTAACTATCTGGGAGTTGTGCTGGCAACTTGTCAATTGACACTAACTTCAGATTTTGTGGAAAAGGCCATCATAGTGAATCATCAAAAATATTATGAATCATGTAAATCCTTGTAGAGCTTATGCTTTAATATATGCATCTTTCAGGTTGGGAGAATGCTAGTGGGTGGCATGAAGGTAGTTGGCATCTATGTGTGGACCAATGAGAGCTCATTCAAAAATTCAACCATCACTCTTTGTCAGGTTTTACTATCATAACTTGAAGTCAACGCTATATTTTCCTCTCTGTACCCGAGGCTCTACCATAACTGCACTATTGTGTTATTTTCTGGAATAGGAGGCTCTCATGTAGTAAGTCTCTGTTGTTATGCCTTTTACGGTGAAGTTAACTTACCTTCCAGAAAATGTTTAATGAAACATGAAACTTATAATTTCAATTACTCATAATTAGTTTTCGATGTTAACTTCTGTCATTATTTGTATTCTTGCTCTCTTTCTCACTTGCTTATGAAATAACTGTACAGGCTGCAAAAGCAGTTGCTGAAGCGGCCCCTTTGTTGGAAGTGGATTGGGATGAAAGATTGCTTGTGCACATTGGTTACAGTCCCTTGAGGTAATCTTGTCTAACTATGTGTTCTTATAATCAAATATGCCCTTCCTTTTCAAAAACATATTCGAATCGTCCCTTATTGTTGATTTAAGAGATAAGATGTATTCCAGGTGGACATGTCGAAATTGCTCGTTGGCTTCAAATATTACATCAGGCAATTTACGACCTTGTGATTTCAAAATGGGAAAAATTCTGAGTACTCGTCAGGCATTCCGATGCACATATGACTTTGATTTGAGGTGAACTTTTGTTTGCTAGAATTGCTCATTTTTTAAATCATTCTTCGGTGTATGGGACTGAACATGCGTTTTGATTTCATAGTGCCACATTTCAAACCAAAAAGGAAATTCCAACTATCTCAAGCAACTCATTTGTTCGTTATTTTAATTGCATGATTGTTTGTTAGGATATTTCTTTTTTGGCATGACAACATTGATAAGGAGGCAAAAACTTCCTCCTCGTTTTCCCTGGCACTAGAGAGGTTGGAGAAGTGCCATATTAATGTCGTTGAAGAACATTAGCCAAAATTGTGAGTGAAAAATGGCTTGTCTCAAATATTGGGCAACTTTCGTTGTTGAGCTATTGGCTTGTATCACACTATGGCTTTTGGTTTATTTTTCTGCACTAGTATGACAGAAGAAAGAAATCTTTTTTTCGGGGGGTGGGGAGGGGGTGGTGGGTGAGTAGGCCTTTTTGATCAAGTGGTATGCAATAAAACTGTTCAACATTTCCTTTGGTTGGTTGCAGCCATTTTATATTAGTTAGGGTCATTTTGTCGTAATAAAGGTGTGATTGGAAAACTATTATCCCTCCATGTTATGATGAACTGGAGGTTGCATCTAGAGTAGATCCTTTCTCTTCTTTCTTTTGTAGCTTTGCACTTCCTTTTCTTGTGATCCCTATATGGTATATCTCCCCACACAGGCTTAGTAAACCCGCTGTACCAGTGGAAACAATTCAGTTTTGTGACTTTCATAAAAATAGAGATATGTCAAATATGATATTTTCTGCCAGAATCATGACTCTTAATGACTGTTGTGCATCCAGGACTTTGTGTTACCATCCCCTCGTTTATGTTTGCAAAAACGATTCATTTCAAACTTGTGCTACCTTGTTAGTACCGCCATATAACTCATGAAGTGTTTTCCCTAGTCCTACCTTTTGTTTTTAGTTACTCAAATCAATTATGTTTGTTTATTCTTTTTACTGAATTTCTTAGAGATCTCAGAGAAATTCAGAAAAACGTCTCACGATTGAGCAACATGTTTCCAGGTTGCCCATATACCAGGGTTCAAGTAGCAAAAGATTGGTTGACATTCTTCATCATGGCATTTCAATTCATGCCAAAGAGCTTAAAGGTGCCAAAGCATTGATTGATGGGAAATTGGTAATGAACTCTAGACTTGTGGCATGAGTCTAGATCAACCACTATTTTTAAACTTGGATGGTAGTTTTCCTCTTAAAGCATCCTCATGGCCACTCCTTATGATTTCACTACCTCATGTTGCAACTTGTTTTTTCTCTTTCTTTCATTTTAATTAATAATTGCTAAAAGAAATTTTTTACTCTACACAGTGCTAGCTCTTGAGTAGTGACATATCAAATGGGCCTTAAAATATGATATAGGCTGCTACTCTATACTTGATTTGCTTGCTTTTGTCCTCTATCAAAATATGAGCCCGGTCTCTTTCCTTAGTTATTATGTTTGGCAATTTTCACCTTTTTTCTTTCATTTCTAGGCAAATGAGGATGAGCAATTTGATTTAGGTGGTGTACATGATGTTGAATTTCTCCTACCTTTCATGGAAGATAAGTATTTGGAAGGTCTGTAAATATTCTCCAATTTACACAATTGGCCTTTCTTTTGAAGTTGATGAAGTGAGTTAGTTGCTATACAGTAATTATTTTCTTATTGTGAAGTATGCAGCCAAAAAGAGATTACAGGTCTTCTAGTCTTCAGCGGCTCTGTCTGCTCCTATGCTTACTCAAATTCGAAGGAACCATCTTCTCAAGCTTTGGCTGACATAAAGGTATTTTAACTTTGCATTTGATGTTGTTTGTTCCCTACATTAAGAGCTAAAAAGTTCAGTAAATCTGTTCTTACTTATCTGTTGCATTCATGGATGTTAAGATGTTCTATTAGATTTCAGTCCATTTGTTGGGCTTCAAAAAGCCATATTATCAGAGCATATTAGACGGATTACTCGAAGCAGAGAGATTCATTTGTGATTTCTCCATAAGATCACAGGCATCGTACACCTGGTTCTGGATGTAACAGTGATTTTTATATCAAAAAGGGAATATTTTACTATTTGGGTTAGAGTGAACTTGGTTTTAGCTTACATTTGTTCTGCATAATAGATCCTGGTTGTCTTACGGATTTTTTTCTCCAGCATTTAACATCTGGTCTTCTTGGTGTTTAGGAAGACATAATTAAGAGTCTAAGAAGCAGGTTAGATATCATGTGTGATGAGGCAGACAGGAAATCAGATTCTAAAGAGGACAGAACTGAAGAGAGCAACAACCAGATATTAAGTGGGAGTACAGTTCTGCAACTTGATTTACAGTTACAGAGGTATAACACAGTGTAATGGTATCTATTCTCTCCTCTAGATGTCCAGATTTAACCCTGCACACTTATTTTTCACAATAGCATCGACATCTGTTTGCAAAATTCTCTAGTTCTTTATTTTTTTTTTCTGGTACGGACTTTAGTATTTTAATGAGATTTAATTGTGTCTTTATAAACTTTATTCAAAATTGAGGATTTGATACTTCCTCCATTTTTCTGATGAAATTTGATACTTCCTCTACCATATTCTTATTGAGAACTACAAGAGTAATTTTGTCACTGGTCTTATGACTAAGGGTGCTTATGGCTCGGTTCGGCCCGGTTTATCGGTTTGTAAATATGCTAAATGTATTTCATTTTGCTAAACAACTTTGAAGTTATTACACTTTGACCTTTATCGTTAACTGGACGGTAGCAGTTGGCTTGTTAGCGATGCTGAAATGGTTTACTTTCTTTTTAAACAGAAAACATTGCAGTATGTCATTTCCTCGAAGAGTATTTTTACCCTGGCTGGCTGACACATTCCTCTGTGACTATATACAACCATCTGAATCAGTTGAGGTGAGTTAGTTGCACCCTTTATATTCTTTGGTGCAGCAAATTATACTACACTCAGCCGTATTTCTTTTATTTGTCTTCCATTAAACATAAATGACATTTTTTCCTTATATTATGTTGTTTTCTTGCCTTAAAGCAAAAGAAGTTACACCTTTGATGTAGAAAGGTTGTTGGAATAGGCACTACTTCAAAGTCCTGTAACTATACTGAAGCTGCAGGCACTTGTCTTTGCGTGTTTGCAGCTCTAAAATAAAAACACACGAGTGTGGTTATAGAATACATGATTCTTGTACATTTTTTCAGTAGGTGTTTCACCTCAAGGAATGTGTTTCTTGTGACAATTTATTCATATTTAGGATTAAAAGTTGTCAAGAAAATCTAATACCTCTCTATAATGGTTGTCGTACTGAAGGAAGCTCCTTCCTTGATCTCACTTGCTCAGTTCTTTAATGGAACATTTTGTTGTCTCTCTGTGATAATTGTATATGCGGCCGTACATTAAAGATGCAGTTGATCTGCCTTGGCAATTAAGTTGTCTACTTGGTACAGAAGTGGTTTGAGCAGTATTTGTTAAGACATTGTTTACCTTATTACTCAATGCGACTAAATATATTGGTAATTTTGAGATTATGATTTCAACTCAACTCTGATGTGTGGTACTTTGAGTTAGGTTCTCGTGGATCATTTTGCCGAGCTCATGTCTCTAGAGTTCCCAAGTATTTCTTCAAAAATCTTGGAGCCTGAAGCTGAAGCTCCTGCATTGGTATTATCCACCACAAAATCATTTCGGGAGGTGTCAACCCCGTATGCTTTACTACCTAAGTCAGACGATTCACTCTCAAATCAAAATAGAGCTGCTACAATCTTGAGAAGTGACCAGAAATCGACAAACCTAGCTGGTTTTAACTTCATGATAGCTGTTTTAGTTCTTGTTGTATCAGTTGTGGTTGGGTTTGTGGTATTTTTTGTTAGGTCATCATCCTAGGGAACACGGATGGTGCGAACAAAAAATATGTTTAGATCAAATCTGATGATACTGTCTAATGCATATACCAACTACTAAGGCTATCATTTACAATTCTACACCGACTCCAAATAATTTATTTTGGTCATAAATTCTACCTTAGTACAAGTGTGGGTATACTATGTGTTATCAACATGTCTGTTTTTGATAATTATTTTTATTTATCTATGGCATTTTGGTCATTTCAACTCACAACATTCCTTCCATTTTAATTATATATATATATATATATATATATATATATATATATATATTCTATATTACCTTAAAAGGATGAACTCTTAACTTAAATGTTAAATTATTAAAATATCTCTAACTTAGGTTGTGACTTTTTCGATGAGTTGCGACTTTTATGATAAGTTGCTACTTTTTTCAAAGGGTTGTGATTTTTCGATGAGTTGAGACTTTTCCAAAGAGTTGGAACATTTTCAATAAGTTGTGACTTTTTGGAAAGATCATGATTTTTTAAATGAGACACAAAAAATACTTGTTCATACTACCCTTTGTTGACTATAAATAGAGGGGGTTCGTCTCCTTTTCAACCACAATTTTTTTTTTATCTTCTATTCTTCTTCTTGAATTTTAAAAAATTTCGTGATTTATTGTCGTTGGATGAGTTCGAAGTTTAGCGGAATATGAGGTATCCCTATTTTGATGAAGTAAATTGTATTATCCTAAGAAAGTATATTCTTTTAACCTCGAGTACTTGAGGAAAATAATTCTGATGATATACATTAATATGTAAGGTTCCAATACATGAAGTTAACAGAATGTAGTCTAAATTCATTTGTTTTTGTTAACAATTTCTCTTGTGATGTAGATATATGCTTCTGAATATGTTTTTCAAAAATTATTAAACTTCTCAAAAGTTAGAGAATTGTCACGATTTGTTTTTTGATGCTCAATACAAAAGAATAATTTTATTTATCAATGTTACTTATGTGATTTAGATTGTCACGAAGTTTGCTTCAAAATAGTTACTACTATATAAACATTGCCCTTTTGTTTTATTGATTTACTATTTCTTAATATTTAAGTATTTTTTACAAAGAAAAGTTTATATGACTTGTAATAACGCTAGTTGAAATTTGTATTAGTTTAATTTTTATTGTAGTCTAAATTCATTTGTTTTTGTTAACAATTTCTCTTGTGATGTAGATATATGCTTCTGAATATCTTTTTTCCAAAATTATTAAACTTTTCAAGAGTTAGAAAATTGTCACGATTTGTTTTTTTGATGCCCAAGACAAAAGATTTACTTTATTTATTAATGCTACTTATGTGATTTAGATTGTCAGGAAGTTTGCTTCAAAATATTTATTACTATATAAACATTGCCCTTTTGTTTTACTGATGTGAGGAGATTGTGTTCGTGAGCCATTCCTGTTGTTAAGGTCCATTGGAGGCATCGTCCCGTCAAGGAGGCTACCTGGGAGACCAAGCAGGAGATGCAAGAGCAGTTTCCCGACATGTTTGAGCCTTCAGGTACTTCTTGATCCTTACTTTCGCAAACGAAAGTCCTTTTTAGTAGTGGATGTTGTAATGACCCTCCTGGTTATTTCTATGGTTTGCCTTTTGTGTGTCGTTTAGAGCGTTCCTGTAGCGACCCCAAGTCATTTATCACTTGCTGGGACTGACAGCTCGATCACCTGGTCGTTCGTTTGGTTATTGTGCGAGTTTTAGTGTTTTTAGAGCTTATGAACCTAGAACGATCATTTTCGATCAAAAATTCAAGAAGAAGACATCTGAATCCAATTCTGACGATTCCATCAGCTTCGGAAGGGCCATTTTAGGCTAGTTGCATGGTCGGCATGACTCATGAGGTTTTTAGTGTGAGTCGGTGCGATTATGCATTTTAAGTTTAAGCCTAAGTTTGACTTTAGTCAACATTCTGAGCAAACACGCTCGGATGAGAATTCTGTTAGCGTTTTTAGCTCCAGAATATCGTGTTTGGTCTAGATTGAACCTCCTTTTTTATCTCGAGGATTCCAAAAAAATTTCGAGCCCTTTTGTGGTTTTTAACTTAAAATGACGGTTGGGTGTGGGATTCACTTTTTGTCAAGATGACCTCGTATGAAAATTTTGACTATGCCATTGAGCCCGAAATATCAAATTTGGTATGGTTGCATATCTCTTTTGAGTGCACGGGGTTCCGAACGAGTTCGGAGCGCCTCGTCAAAATTTTTAAGTTTTCAAAAAATGTTGAAAATTTGGTGTATTTAAGCAGAAAAATCAGCACTTTCTCAGTCAATTAAGGCGATTCAAAGTGCAGGAGCTTCGTTGTGTTGGTGGATTTTCTGTAGACTGATCAGAAGTTGTTGGGTGCACGTCGTTCAACGTAAAAATCGTGATAAACCAGACTGCTGTAAGCCTTTTTCGAGTTTTTATTCTTGGCTTTCTTGAATTGGTGATATCTTGCTCATTTTAGCTCGGTTTTGGGTGATTCGAAGTCCCACATATCGAGAATTATTGAGGCTATGTCGTGGAGTATTCATGGACTGCAAGGCACCCTTTGATTTTTGTAAATTCCGAGTTTAGCTTGTTGCATGCTTTCATCTTAAGTTGGTTAAGTGTGGGTTTTCTTGCATGTTGGGTTTTGCAACATTTTAAACCCCGAATCGTGTTCCATTTTGAAACACAAGTTCAGGGTACTATTTTGGGTCTCTTGGCGGAGTCAAATCCAGACAGTTCAATGCGGGTTCCACAATTCCTGTTTCAACTCCAAAATTGACTTGCCTCCGTTTGTTGTAATTTTGGTGTCTAAATGACCGTACCAACGTTGTAATCCTATATTTGATAGAGTGACAACGTTCAAAGACCGTTTGGGAAGGAAAAGCTCCGACAAAGTGATTTGGAGCCGCGCGGTCGGCTTAAAGGTAAGCTACAACTTCCTTTCTATTAGATTGAGCTTAATTGTGTAAAACCATGTGGATTGGAGTGAATTGGGGGTGGGTACCAGTCACTTACTTTATTTTGATTAGATACCTTATGCTAGGATTGATTGACCATATTTCGGGTGTAGTACCATGCTAGACGGGTTAGTAGAATTGCATGTTTATGTGTTAAATGCTATTGTATGCTTATATGTTATGTGGTGTATGTTTTGTTCATTGTCAACTGTAAGAATGATATCCTTAGTCTAGGTTAGGCTAGCATTGCCTTAGACTTATGACCAGTGTGGGCTGGATAGCCTTGACGTTCTGCCGACCTCGTTCAGATGACTTAGCTCCTTGTAGAATGGAGTAGCAAACTTGAGTCTTATAGTTTGAGCCTGAGATTAGGCGTTATCGTCGCTTGTTGCACTTATGTATCTTCTCCTCCTAATTCTGTGGTTCTTACGTGTTCTCAGAGGTTCGGTGCATCACTAGAGGCGTGGGATTGAGATAGTATAAGGTTGGAGCTCTTTCTGTGATTTCTTGGAGTGGACGCCATTCCACGATGGATGTTGTTAGATTGGATCCTATTGGAGATACAATCACTCTCGGGGTCGTTCTTTCTAGCTGGGCTGGGAGCGTATCGCTGGCTAAGTGACTCGGTGATTTCGGCGATCGCCCCCGAGCCTCTCTTTCTAGCTGGGCTAGGAGTGTGCTGATGGCTGGGTATCCCCGGGTCGCTCTTTCTAGTTGGGTTGGGAGTTGACTGCATGGTAGGACAACTCACGATAGCTACCTTACCCTCGGGTCTCTCTTTCTAGCTGGGCTAGGAGTGGACTGTATGGTTGGGTGCCCCCTGGGGTCACTCTTTCTAGTTGGGCTGGGAGTGCACTACTGGCTGGGTGGAGTCTGATGGGTTCTCTTGGTTACTTTGGGCTGGGAGCCCGGTTTTCTTCTTTCTCAGTAGACTTAGCTATTATGTGTACTTGTCGGGCTTATGGGGATCCGTTCAGGTTTTATTTTGAACTTGCGCACGAGTGTACCTTCTGGGCTTATGGGGGTCCAGTTAGGTTTAGTTCAGTTGTAGTTAGTTTACTTCTGGTATGCTCGCGTGCTTTCTTTTCATATCTGTTTTGACCTCTCTGTATCTTGATTCTATCATTTCTTATTGTTTTTACCTCTTTTTTGCTCAGTCGACCTTTGATGCCTACTAAGTATTTGTTTTTTTGGTACTCATGCTACACTCTGCATCTATTTCGTGATGCAGGTCCCAGTACCAGTTACTAGCGGTGATTAGTTCCAGCCTTCTTTTGCAGCTGTGATTCGGAGATGAGGGTGAGCACTTGTCATTTTGGGTTTTTCATGTCTCCTTCTTTTGCTTAGCTAGTTTTATTGCTTTTGAGACACACTTTGTTGTGGTCCACTTTTGGGACTTGTACTCTTTATTAGACAGCTCTGTACTAGTGACTTCCAAGTTCTGGGAGGGATGTATGCATACATTTATTTTGGTTTGCTTCCGCCTTGTTGTCCTTTTTTAGATTATTATTTTCGCTAGTTTCTGCCTTACGCTCATTGCTTGATGTTTTGGGTTACGTATTGGCTTACCCACTAGTGGGGTATAGTAGATGCCATCAACTCGAGAAATCGGATAGTGACAAGTGGATCGTCATCTCCTTCAGTATGACATGTTAAACTAGGTTTGCACGAATTATATTTGTATTTATGTTATAATTTCTACTGACAGCTTTTTCCAAACTTTGCAATACACGAACTGGATTACATCAAAATAGGACGCAACACAATGTGAAACTTTTTCTTAGCAGCAAACTGGACATAGTCTAAAGAGGAATATCAAACTCTTAGGACGCGAGTTGAGGAGCGACTTCCACCACAATCAAACCACATCCCAATCATTAGGAGTGTGGGTTTTTCTTAGGTTTAATAGTTTCAGTTTTGCCTTTCGTGAAATTTTCAACTCTCACCGGATGCAAATTTTCAAATTCGAGTGACAATACACCTAGAGCTTTGGAAGTTATGTCCATGTAAGTTCTTACTTATGAGTGTGAAGGGCCCCGTTTTCATAATTGAGATGTTTGCAAGCCTCTTTTCCACACTCATTTCATTTGTCCCTCATCCTTGAGCTAAAGGGATTTCTGCATATGAGATTTCCTTTTCAACTGATTGAGTCGAACTACAAACAGTCTGATTTCAAAGTTTAGGAATGTGTAGGCGGGTTCGGTGTTGAAAACTCAATTGTATTCCAATAAACCACTTCTCA